AGCAGCGAGCGACATAAATATTTAATCAGCAGATACGGAACCGAATTGTGACTAAAGCAGAGCAGGGTCTGAAGACTAAGCTCTGGATATTGAAGTCGTTCTTCATTCCCATGCTTATCTATAGTCATGAGTCGTGGAGGATGAGTAAAAAATTTCGAACCCGAGTACAAGCTGCTGAAATGGGCTTTCTTAGACGAGTCTTTGGTCTTACGCGTCTCGACATGGTCTGGAATATGATATCCGGAAGAGCCTTGGAATACAGCCTTTGCTTCTCCAGATTGAGAAGTCACAGCAGCGATGGCTTGGGCATGTGTTGCGAATGCCTCCAGAAAGGAAGGCTAAGAAACTGTTTTTTGCGAAACCGACTGGCAGAAGCCCCAGGCAGACGGTCAAGATTAACCTGGTGCAAATATATGGAAGGAGTCTGTTCGAGACTCCAGTTGTCTTCTGCCGAAGCTGAGACTCTGGCACAGGATTGGGAACGTTGGAGGCTCTGTCTGACGCGTCTGCCTCCGCCATCCGGAAGCAGAAGCGGTCATGGTAGATGAGGATGAAGATGCGCGAAGAGGCGAGGGAAAGGAACGTCGAGTCAGACTCGCAACTTTTGCTGAATACAACCGCCTTCACGTCACGAACATGGTTTTCGACAAAGTCCGAAAGTGAATGGACACGGAAAAGCCCAGACGGAAAGTTTGGCTGCCAAATCGACCACATACTAACGAAGAAAATAGTGCATAAGGGATCAGACGATAGGCTTCTTCATTTGACCATTGCAACCAATGTCGCAAACGGAAAACGGAACAAAAGGACTCCCTGATCGCCACTATGTTCGAGGATCACGATTCGATCCGGAGGATGTCAGGGAGAATCAGTCATTAACGCACACTGGAATGAACATCAGCGAGGGCACAGATGCTGATTATCGTCATTTTGTCAATGCTATCAAAATAGCCGCTTGAACATCAAACGGAACAGAGCAAAATCGACCGGAAACAAATGCATCAGCTCTTAACCAAAGCGGCCAATGAGCAGCTAGAAGAGCACAATGGAAGGTTGAACTCGAAAACATGAAACGGGTCAACGTATGCACTGCATTCTCAATAAGATAGGGCAAGAAAGATGCATAAGGATACGATTGAGAGAGGTTGAGGAAAAGCAGCAACGCCTTAATGGGTGGAGCGAGGCATTCTTCTAAAACAACGGGTACCAACTGCGCTAAAAGCGAATGAGGGACAAGGACCACAGGTCGCAATCCGCGAACGCAATACGCACAAAATTCTACAAAAGCTAATACTCTTGCTTTTCAAAACCAAGCGTGAATGAAAAGTTTGCCAAATTTGCCCCAGAATCCATTACCGAAGTACCCTTGGACAAGACTCAGCGGGCAATTAAAAACAGAAAATTGCCATTGCCAAAAAATATCCATTCATCAACGAGGACACCTTATAGAACAATTCTGTTTGAAATCCTTGCGACGCATTTTACGGAGTGCATACGGTAGAACAACCCACATAAAGTGAGAAGGATATCAGGCACAGTTCTTCATCGGAACAGTGGATACTTCAAAAATCTCAGGTACTGCCGGTCAATTACATTAATGTGGCAAATCTATGTCAACGCCTCCGTTTCCTGACCCAAGCCAGGAGGGGGTGGGGACTGTGGCAAAACTTAGTCACATGCCTCCCATGGTATTGCCGTTATCATCCGGATTACCCAAGGCCATTAAGGCTGTTGGGAAACTCAGTCAGACTTCGAAA